GCTTTTTTTTCTTTTTGCTTATGTGGTGCTGAGGAATCGAACCCAGGGCCTCAGGCATGCAAGGCAAGCGCTCTACCACTGAGCCACCTTCCCAGCCCTGGACAGATGATTTTGAGGGTGCCTGTGAGCTGGCTCTCAACTTCACGTGAGGCCCAGCCCCTCAGTACCTCGCTGGCATTAGTTCGTCTAACATGTTTTGTCTTGCAGTAGCCCCACACCCGGGCAGTGTTCACACCTCTCGTGGTAAGAGTGCCATGTCTCACTCTGCCAGTCACTGACCCCAAACAGACCTCGCTGATTCTCTAAGAAATACCTTACATGCAGCTGTTGAGGCTAGTTATATCAGTATGTGCAGAGAAATCTAGACAGGCTGGCTTCCTGGGAATCAACCTAAAACAGAGCTCCTTCTCCATCTTACAGTGGGAAGGAAGAACAAAGGAGAGTCCGTTTAAGGGACCCAGTTGGGTCTGTTCCAACCCAAACCTCTATGACAGCTTCCCAGGTCTTGGGCCTGGTGAAGGTTAGCCCACATCTTTGGTACTAACTATCCCTCTGGGTACCTAAACCTTCCTCATATCGCTAATTCTCCTTGTTGCAGGGTCTTTCTTCCACCTCTACCCTCTAAGTCCTTTAGCTTTGATTGTGTGCCAGTTTGAAGATCTCTAAACAGAGTTCATTGTAGGGAGGTGCTCACGCTTTGCCTTGGCCTTGCTCGGACAGGGCTGGAACTGGTGCAGCAGTGGGTCTGTGTGTCAGGGAGGCGGTCTGGGGGTGGGCGGTGCCCGGCTCTCCCACCTTGCAGTACCTGGTGGCCCCGGCTCCTCTCTGGCTGCCTGTGTGTGATGTCCTCTTCTTGTTACTCTCGTTCTGGACTGTTTCAGAGGAGGCAGACCACTACAGCTTCGGGGCAGGCACGCTGTCGCGGAAGAAGAGAGTGCTGGTGACTCTGCGGGACGAGGGTCTCCGCCGGCGCGCCCACCTGGACATCGGCATGCCACATGACTTCCGCCCGGTGTCCTCCATCATCGACGTGGACATCCTCCCCGAGACTCACCGCCGGGTGCGCCTCTACAGACACGGCTGCGAGAAGCCACTGGGCTTCTACATCCGAGATGGGACCAGTGTGCGGGTAACGCCCCAGGGGCTGGAGAAGGTCCCGGGCATCTTCATTTCCCGCATGGTGCCCGGAGGCCTGGCCGAGAGCACCGGGCTCCTCGCTGTGAATGACGAGGTGCTGGAGGTCAACGGGATCGAGGTGGCCGGGAAGACGCTGGATCAGGTCACAGACATGATGATCGCCAACAGCCACAACCTCATTGTCACCGTCAAGCCTGCCAACCAGAGGAACAACGTGGTCCGCAGCAGCCGCACGTCGGGCAGCTCCGGCCAGTCCACGGACAGCACCGCCAGCCACCACAGCCTGCAGGCTGCCCACGTCCTGCAGAACTTCCACCTGGAGGAGATGGAAAGTGATGAGGAGGCCGACATTGTCATCGAAGGGGCTCTGGAGTCTCAACACGTCCCCAAGGCTCAAGGCCTCGTGCGGGCCAACGGCGCAGGGCTGGCCCACAGTCTGCAGCGGGACCTGGGCCTGCACAACTCCGGGAGGGAGAGCAATGGCAGCATTCACAAACTGCTCAGCTCCCTGAAGCCAGACCCTCGCCACACGCTGGTCCTCCCACAAGGAGGGGTGGAGGAGCACGGGCCGGCCGTCACGCTGTAGGAGCCGGCCTCTGGCCCAGACCGGGTTGCCTCAGACTTGTGGTCGAGGGGAGCTGGCCACACTCAGATACACAGGGATTACAGCAGTAAGTTTTCAAAGAGAAGTCTTTCAAATGTTACCAATTTTTAAATAATTGTGTACATTGCCCCCTCCTTTTCTATCATTCCCACAACCTTATTTCAGCTTTTAGACAGGAACTGAAAATACCGTATTTTTATAGGATTTCTCCAAAGAATCTAAAATGCACAAACATGCACAAGCCTAAGTGCATGCCCCAGAAAGGCAGAAAGTATTTTTAAACTGTAAAAATTCATGCTTTTAAACTTGTGTGAAAACACCATGCTGCTGGAGCTCTGCTGACCTCAGCACGGCTTGGACAAGACAGACTTTCTGAGGGCAGGCGAGGCCACAGCAGGAGGACTCAATGCTCAGAAAGGCCACTGGGCATCCGTCAAGAATCGCCGTTGGCCCAGCACCTGCCTGCGGCTGCAGCGCCGTCCTGCCACTATACCGTCACACAGCTGTCTCCAGTGCAGGAAGCCAGGGCCACTGCTTGCTGGAAACGTGATTAAAAACCAGTGTCTACTCTGAAGCTGTCCAGTTGTCCTTGGGTCAGCTGGCTCTGGGGCACTTTTTAAGCCAAAATGAGAGAGGACACTGTGAAGCCTCTGTGTTCACTCACGTGGATGTATGCTTTGTTATCTTACTTTTAGAACATCTAGTTCTTTTTAAAAGTCACTGCTATGCTACGCTCCCTTCCATTCCTAGCATAGTGCTCAGTGGGCATGAGTTCTTTGAACTATAAAGTCACATGGAACTTGGTAGATTTGACAGACGTTAGATTCATTGTCATTTTTATTTGACCTTTGAAGTTTATTCTTGACTCAACTAGCTGTCACTGTGTTTTCCTCCTGAATACAATGTCAGGAAGAAAATGTCACATTAATTCTTTGAGAACAAACTAGCTGAAAGAATCCTTGGTGTAAATACAGGTAAGAGTATTTTCCAGGTTTTTCTGGCAGGTAGACCTACCTACCTGTCGCTCTTATGGTCCAGCACCACCTGCTGGTCAGTGGCAGAAATGTCCTGCTCTCATGTCAGCCATAAACTGCACATCTCATCATCATTTGTCTTCAATTCATTAAGTAAAAAGAACATGATTTTCCTTTTATGAATTATTGATCAGAAGTAGCTTTTGCTGAGAAGTGTTTCCTGGGCCTGGGTCTGAGTTCCTTATTAGCAACTAAGGATTCCTGACTGCTTGTTCATGGAACAAGATGCTCCCTATGAAGTCTCAGTATGGGTCCAGCCTCCAAATGCAAGGTCTTTGAAGCACTTCAAAAGCACAGCATTTGTTCTTGGGACAGTTATAAGCAAGTTTTTACTAAGTAAGCAAGCATTACAGAATTTGAACTCTTGACATTCACCTACTATTAGAAATGTTCCAATATAAATTATTGCTGGTTGAATATGTTTTATTAACTGGGTTTGCTACCAAGACAAAAAGTTACATTTCTTACCATGTTTTAAGTTGTTCAGCAACTGTGAATCTTTTTTTAAGGAGAAAAAGAGGCTTTATATGCTGTTGCTTTAATTGTAGGAATTGTGAGCTGCTTGGAGTGGCTGCTTGAGTGTATTTTTCTACCAAGATTTATAATGATCTGCCATTTTCTCATTTAAAAATGTCAATATATATTAAAGTTTCTTTGGTTTTATATGTCAGAGAATAAAGACTTTTTTGCCTTTGAGTTAACAAAATGCAATGCTGATATATTTCAGTTGTTTTTAATAAGGGTAGAGTGTTTGTATCAATGGCAGAAAAAAAAAACTCAGAAAAGACTGAATCCTGTTTTTCAAGATATGTGCCATATTTATCACGTATACTCACACATTGGTTGAGGTGTTCATTGTTACCATTTTACAGTTGAAAAACTGGATCCAAGCTCAGATTGATAGGTCCTCTTGGAAAACCTTTTTCTATGGTAGAGTCCTCTGTAAATACAATCTGGTTTGCAAAGTTTCCACTAACATTCTGCTTTATGTGTGGTGTGCCAGTCCTGGGACACGAACTCAGGGCCTGGGTGCTGTCCCTGAGCTTTTGTGCTCAAGGCTAGTTCTCTACCACTTGAGCCACAGCTCCACTTCCAGATTTTTTTTTTTTAAATTCAGTGGCTAGCTAAAGTACATGTTCATCTAATGGTTCTATGGGTTTTATTAAAAATGGATTTCTGCTGGCTACCTAAAACCATTACTGTTTGAAAGCATCCAAAACTAAGCAGAAACAATGCACTGCAGCAATGCACTGTTTAGATAATAGACATAATGGAGCTGGTCTAATGCTTACAGCAAGGCCAGCACATAAAGACATGCGCTTCCCACGGCACAATGCTCCTCAGAGTAAGATGAACCCAGAAAAACAAAGACATAATCCTAGCCAATCAGGATTCTGAGAACCATTCTTGAGCCAGCCTCGTCAGACAAGCCCACGTGATACTTTTGCCTCCAATTATCCAGCAAAAAGCCAGACATAGGGGTGTGGCTCAAGTAGTAGAATGCTAGTTGTGAAAGAAAAAAGCCAAACAAGAGGGAGAGGCCCTGAGTTCAAACTCCAGTACCATCATACACACACATTACCACCTCCCCCCCAAAAATATAGCAATAACACATGGTACCAACGGGGCGTTCAAATCCCACCTCAGGATCGTTCTAGCTTAACAAGTTACTCAACCTCTCATATCTCAATTTCCTATGCGAAATAAAAGGCAGGCATGCTGAAGACAACGGCGTTCAGAATAAGCAACCATGGTGACATTACTCACCTTACTTCCTAACAGAGAGTAAGCAGCTGGTAAATGTTTCTAGTAAGACCTTAAGACTTAGCAAGTGTTCGTCAGTTACTTTCAAGTTTATTTGTATTGACAACTCCACTTACAGGCTTTTGGAACTTCAGTTTTCATCAATTTTGATCTATACTCCTAAAAATGTAGTAATGAGCAACTATTTAACATCAACATATGTCATCGAGTGCCTTCCTCAGAGTGGTGCTCAGGGCTTTACCCCAACTAGGGGCACTTAGTGGTGAGTTTTTGATGGGCACAACTGGAACACCCTAGTGCACAAATACAGGCGCAGCCAAAACCTATCTGTCCCAGGACCTTGGTGGTAGGAGGTTGAGAACAGGCCAGATGGCAGCCTGCCCTTGCTGGCACCTAAAAAATGAGTCTGGCCATGTCAAAACTAGTAGCACACAACCACTGTAAAGCATGAAACTGGCATCCAATTCGTCTTCTTGGTACCTTAGGGGCTACAATTATTAAAGCCTCAGGAACCTCTGGCCATGCTACAGCCCTACGGTATGAAGGCCACACACTGAAATTGAGGGGAAAACTGAGCCAGCCAGTGATACGCATCTATATCATCTCAGCACTTGAGAGTTGAATCTGAAGCAGCCTGTGCTACATAGTAAATCTCAGGCCAGCCTGAACTATACTGAAAAGTCTCATTTTAAAAAAAAAGTGAAGGGGGTAAGATTGTTTCATTGTCGGTATCTGTGAAAATATAACCTTGGAATTCCCCTCTGTATCATTAATGTAAGCTAATTTTAAAAGTCATTAATTTTTAAAAAGAACTGGTAAAAAAAAAAAGGAATGAAAACTGGTGTTTAAAGTGACTAGTATTACGCAAGGTCATAAGGTGGCTTTGAATCCTGGTGACCCTGCAAAAGATATCACAAGAGTCACACAAATACTGGCTCTGGCTGTATGACAAGATGCCTTGGGACTCTTCTAGCAAGAAGCTATCACCGAAGATAGCCCCTGCATCTTAGACTACCAGAGAGCCAAAAAGACTTATCTTTCATAAAATTGTTCCAATTTTAGCTATTTTGTTACCACAGGGGAGAAAACAAGCCAGCAGACTAACACAAGTCACATCTATTGTTAGCACTCTGCATTACGCTGCTTTATTTCACACGGTGACAAGTCTTCAGAACATAAATGTGATTATCTATATCCGTATCTAGATTCTGCCAGTCATTATTTTTCTTAGCTGGTGCTGAGGCTTGAACTCAGGGCCTAGGTGCTATTCCTTAGTACTTCCCCATCAAGGGCTGGCACTCTACCACTTCAGCTATAGCTCCACTTGTGGCTTTTTGACAATTGGTGTTGAGTCTCACAGACTTTCCTGCTTGGACTGGCTTCAATCTTCAATCCTCAGATCTGAAACTCCTAAGTAGCTAAGATCACAGGGATGAGCTACCTGTGCCTAGCTGCTAATTTTTTTTTGTTTTTAATGAGACATGTCTCGCTGTGTTACCTGGGCACTCCAAACTCCAGGGTTCGATCGATCCTCTTTGCCTCAGCCTCCCAAACCAATGGGGCACAGATCTGTGCCACCACCCCTGGCTCACAGAAATGTAAAGTGAAAAGAATTAAGCTGTTCTATTTGCGGTGGTGTAATAATTTTTAATTCAAAATAGACACTCTGAAAACAATAGGTAAAATAAAGTCCAACAAGCTCTGAATTTACAACAGAGTACACCAACAGTTACAACTGCCTCGAAATGCACATTACAGCCATCACATGCAAGTGTTGTATTTGTAAAAATACAGCAACACTGTAGCACTTCATAGAAGCTGTCAGACTCTGCACGAGTGGGACAGGCTCCTCTCAGCAGGATGACACCGGTACCAGACAGCGGTCCACATTACTACTTCTGGTGCTTCGTTTTACAGTGTATGGTTAAAGAAGGTTTGGCTTCCATACAATAGTGATATAGTGGAGATTCTTCAGCAATACCCTGTGTCTCATTCCTTTGGACACCTAGGCCAGAGGAAAAAGCCTTTCATCCAACTCTATCTACCATACTATCCCAAGCTACTCCAACCACAAAGATGAGCTCTTGGTTTACACCCCTTCACTCTGTACCTAAATCTCATCTCCATTTCAGGTCATGACCACAAGCAGGGGCAGGCATGAAATGCTTGAATGTCATGACCCCTCCTTTCTGCTAGTTTATGAGCATTCAAGTAAGAGTTCTGGATGTGTTTTCTTAACTTTTATTCTAAAGGCACTAAAGATTTACTGTCATGTCTTTGAATGGAGAAGTGACTTGTCACTGTATCAATAGAGAATATTTACACTGCAAAGTATTTCTGCTCCTACAAAGATTTTATTTATAAAATAACACTTGATTATAAGCTGTACACCACATATCAGGCTCAGAACGTTTGGTTTTCTATGAGTTACCATTAAAAAAAAAAAAACCCTCCACACAGCTTTTTGAGACAAACTTGAAAAAGTGCAAATGAAAATTACAACCTTGTAAGCACATAGCATTCAGACTCATCAGTAAAAGTTAATGCTTAGAAGTGTGTTCTTAGCCATACACACCACAATGCTCTAAACAGGAACTGTGCTGTTAGTGCTGCCCATAAAGCTGAGGGAGAGCAATGCTGTAATTCTCAATTAATCAAGTATTCTCAAACCAGCAGAAATTTCCTAAAACGAAAATAAAAATAAGTATTTGTAGACTTCAGGTTTTTTAAGATTTGATACTGACACTACGAGGAAAACAAGGCGTGCATGGAATACCAAAAGATTTAGTTTATGACAGAGGGGGGAAAAGAAAAAGAATAACTGTTACAAATGGAACTTCAGGAGAGAGTAAATCTGAGAACTATTTGCTTCCTTAACAGAAGTCTTTCTGAGCACCTGGAACCCCTGAAGAGCTGCAGACACTGGCACATCAGCAGAGCACAGGAGTGTGTCAAAGTCAGCCAGAACCACTGCCTAGGCCTTCACTTTTTTATAGATTTTGTGGCTCACAATCGAAGTTCAACCTGTGTTTGACATTTTTAAGTTCAGACATATCAAAGCCTAGAAGTACAGAGGGCTTTCGAGTTTTTATTGCTTTCATGCAAATATATCTCCTTTTTCCAAAAAATGAAGCCACGTCAATTTTCCACACCCACAGCAATGAAGACAAGAGTTCCATTTCTTTTCTGCTAGGATACGGTCTCTTATGGAAATAATCTCTAAGAAACTGTTTCTTGTCCTCATACGAACGGCCTTCATACTTTTTCGGATCTAATGCTAAGACCTGAAGTGCGTCATCGTTGGCTACCTGTCCCTCTGTCCTGCTTTCATTCCTCTGTCTCTTCAAAGGCACAGCACTCACCCCTTTCTCAGGACCTGGAGCTGACTCTGCATTTAGGATGAGTGAAGCCTCCTCCCCATCCCTCTGGTCCTCTGTCCCCACATGGCTGTCTGGCAGTTTTCTCTTTACAGGAAAGGTGGAGTCAGGAATCACTTCCCCATTGACTAACAGCAGTTCACTGCTCTCAATCAAACCCGGCTGGACTTGCAGGTCTGAGCTGCTGTCTTTGGGAGCGCTTCTACAACGCAGCAGATGGACAGCAATGGCTGCCAGAGTCATATTTCCAGTGTAGACCCCGCAGCAGTGGATGCACTTGAAGGCGGGAGACCTGAGTGTCGTATGGACCGTCGGCATGACGTGGTGCCGCTCCTTCAGGTGCAGCTCATAGGCATCGGCCGTTGCAAATGCACCAAAACAGAAGGGGCAGGTCAGCTTCTGTTTGCTGGGAACCTTGGGCAGAACCTCGGGCTGGGGCCTCACCTTCACATACACAGGCACCAAGGACTTGGAGTGTATCCCAGCTAGAATGGCCAGATAGACCTCGCGCTCACCAAGCTTCTCTCTCGGCAGAATGGTGGTGAAGTCGAGGTGAGGGAACAGCAGGTTGCCGTTGGCATCCAAGTCCAGCTGGAAGCCTCTGTTGCTGTAGTCGACGGACAGCCTCTGGCTCCCCAGGTGCTTAGTCCTGCTGTGCTCCAGGAGGCCTCGGACATCATGGAAAGTACCTGGGCAGAAGAGACACCCCAGGCCGTGCGTGAGTAAGTGGTGCATCAGCTCCTCCTCTGAGACCAGGCACTTGCAGGAGAGGCAGCGCACCGTCTTCTCCTTCATCCACTTCAGAAACGGGGCGCATGCTGCCAGCTTTTCAGGCTCAAGCTTCTCATTGGACTTGGACTCACTCTGCTTGTGAGCCACCTCCATGTGAACCTGGTAGACGTTGGAGGGGAAGAGCTCATTGCAAACTCGACAGAGCTGGGTTTCAGTGTGCTTGTGAGCCACCTCCATGTGAACCTGGTAGACGTTGGAGGGGAAGAGCTCGTTGCAAACTGGGCAGGTCTTCCACTGCTTGGCTTGTTTGAGCACCTGACTGGTATCTGCAGTAGGTGAGGTAGCCTGGACAAACACGCTTGGGGCAGCACTCACCAGCACCTGCGGGGAAGGCAAGCTGGGCAAAGAATTGGCCATCTGTGTGCCTGTGCCTGAGGGCATAAACTGGACCGGCACCTGGGGAGGTGCGACGGTCGTGAGGCCACTTACAGGAGGTACAGGCAGAGTGACAGACACAGGGGCCAGTGTATAGGTGGGGATTCCATTCACCTGTTTCCCCGTAGGGATGAGCTGCCGGAGAATAGAGCCTGATGTGAGAAAGGTGGTGTTCTGTGAAGTTCCAGCTCTCACTGGCTGGTTCACAGGCAGGATGCTGGTGCCAACAGACTGGCTGAGCTGCAGCATGCCAGGCCTGACCGGTGGGCCCACAGGCAGCACCCCTGATGCAACAGGCTGACTGAGCTGAAGAACACCAGAGCTGACACTCTGGTTCATGGGAACGACAGCCGAGGGGACCGTCTGGGTGGGCGACAGCAGCCCGGAAGGGACCACCTGGTTAGCAGGGAGAACTCTCAAAGGAACTGTTTGGCCAGGAGGGAGGACCCGTGTTGGGGCTGTCTGGCCAACTGGAAGAACCCCCGGCTGGACAACTTGACCAGTGGGCAAGACCCCAGAAGTCGCTGTCTGTCCAGGGATGACCCCTGAAGGGGCCACCTGGCCCGCAGGAAGGATGCCTGTTGGGACTGCCCGACCCACTGAGATCACTCCTGGTGAAGTGGCCTGAAGAACCCCTGGGGGGACAGGGGGACCAGCAGGAAGTACACCAGGCCCTATAGGTCTGCTTACGGGCCCCACGGGTCTTACAGGGCCCCCAGGTCTGCTTACAGGGCCTCCAGGTCTGCTCACAGGGCCCCCAGGTCTGCTTACGGGGCCCACAGGCTGGGTCAGGGGTAAAACCCCAGGGCGTACAGTCTGACTCATGGGGCAGACACTTGCTCCAACAGACTTATTCCCAGACCCGGCTGGCTGACTCAGGGACCTCCCGGGAGGGTTCACAGGCTGGTTAAGTGGAACCCCGTGGGAGAGAAAGACAGGTGGGGGACCTGAGGGCTGTAGGGTGATACTGTTCTGACACACAGGCAGAGGGTTGGAGACTAGAGTCACATGGGACGGGGTAGCAGCAGGGGGAGAATGAGTGAGGCTCCCTGAAGTGCCGGGGGCCACAGTCACTGGCTGCACTGTGGCTGTGCTTTGGCTGTTCTGTGGCAGCGTGAGGTGGAAGCAAGGTGGGGGAGCTGCAATGCCGGGCGCACTGCTGTTCGGTGGTATGGCCAAGCGGGCCACTGGCTTGGGGGCAATATTCATTTGCTTCAGAAACCCCGCCCTCTTGATATGTTCTGAAATCACAGACCTCAGCTTATTCTCCAAGTCCCTGTGAACATCTGAGGTCAGAATATGGTACATCAGAGCGTCCTGGCTGCCAGCACTGGCGCTGCATTTCTTACAGTAGTATCTGTCAGACGAGGGACTCTTGTCCACAGAAACAGTATCATTAGATTTAGGTTGCTCCCCCGATTCCTCGGTTCTCAGGCCAAAGTAGGAGTTAATTAAGTAATGAAAATGGGCTACTAACACATGCTTTTTCATGCTATAGTACAAAGTGTTCGAAAAGTTACATTTTAGACATGTGAAGCTGATCACATCACTCCTAGAGGATTTTGTCTCACCCAAAATGTTTACGGTGTAGTTCTGGACCTTCCGAACAGGTGCATGGAACATCCTAAAGTGCTTCCCCACCACCTTGGGCTGAGAGGCAAACGTGCAGTTGGGGCAGGGGATCACCAACTCCTGGTCAGCCTCATCTTCATGGTAACGATGCAAATGATTTTTGAGCGAAGTAAGCACTTTCGTTGAGTACTTGCAGAGACTACAACAGTATGGTTTTGTTCTGTACCTCTGTTGAAAAAACAACAACAAAGTCTTAGGCAGGGTAAAAAGCTTCTAGGGACCACCTTCTGCACAATATTTCATGTTTCTTTTGCTCATCTGGTAGGACACCAACATGAACTGCAGAACAGAAATTCTGAGCTGACCCTATGTAGGCCTAGGTAAAGAGAGTGAGAGAGGAAGGAAAGGAAGAAGGGAAAAGAGAGGGAGAGAGGAGGAAGAGAGAGAGGAAAGAGGGAGAAGAGGGACAGAGGGAGAGGAGGAAAGGAAGAGAGGGAAAGAAGGAGAGAGGGAAGGAGAGGGGAAGAGGAAGAAAAGGAGGGAGAGAAGGAGGGTAAGAGAAGAAGAAAGGGAAGGAGGAAAGGAAAGAAGAGATAAGAGGGAAGGAGTGAGAACAAGGGAAAGAGGGAGGGAGCAAGTGATATGCCCTAGCTTACAGGATGTTGAAAATGAACTATACAACTTATGGTGGAGACAAGAAGAAAAAACTGCAAGAGAGAGAGGGAAGCGGGGGTAACAAAACTTTAAATAGAGCCAGGCACCAGGGGCTCATGCCCATAATCCTAGCTATTCAGGAGGCTGAGATCTAAGGATCATAGTTCAAAGCCAGGCCAGGCAGGAAAGTCTATGAGACCCTTATCTCCGATTAATCATCAGAAAACCAGAAGTGGAGCTGTGGCTCAAGTGTAGAGAGCTAGCCTTGAGCTGAAGAGCTGAGGGACAGTGCCCAGCCTCAGAGTTCAACACCCATGACCCACAACAACAACAAATTTAAATAGGTAAATAAATGTACATAAAGAAGAAATACTTCAGCCAGGTGCTGGTGGCTCACACCTATAATCCTACTCAGGAGGCTGAGATCTAAGGACTGCAGTTTAGTCAGCCCAGGTGGGAAAGTCCGTGAGACTCATCTCCAATGAACTACCAGGAAACTGGAAGTAGAACTGTGGCTCAAGGGGTAGAGCACTAGCCTTGAGCAGAATTCAGGGACAGTGCCCGGGCCCAGAATTCAAGCCTCATAACCGACAAAAAAAATTCCACGAGACAATTGTTTTAAGCTGGCTATTATTACAAAAGTTAAAAATTTATAAAGTGAGGGCTGGGAAGGTGGCTCAGTGGTAGAGTGCTCGCCTCGTATGTGTGACGCCCTGGGTTCGATTCCTCAGCACCACATAAGCAGAAAAAAGCCAGAAGTGGCGCTGTGGCTCAAGTGGTAGGGTGCTCACTTTGAGCTGAAGAGCTGATGAGTTCAAGCCCCACGACCAACAACAACAACAAAACATTATAAAGTGAAAATATAATAGTAAGCTAAAACTGACTTATTATTGAAAAAAGGATAAACACATAGAATAAGCAGTGTAGCCTCCATGCAATGCAGCACAGAGCTGTGCCCTGGGCATTAGCATCTGCTTATAACCACCCTTCCCAGAACAGCACAGGTTCTGCAAGTTCTATGCATGGTACATTCTTTTACCTTTTTTTCGCAGCATTTTTAACTGTTCCTTTTCTAGGTGCAGATGTGTCCAATAGACAGATACCACTATGTTACAGCTGCCTGGGTTTTCAGTTACAGTGCCATGCTGTATAGGTCTGGAATGAGGTGTTCAATAGGCTCTCCCATGTAAGTTTGGGTAAGGAATACTCTATGATATTCTCATGTCACAGCAATAAAATCTTCTAGCAAACCATTTCTCAGAACCTATCACCATCATTAAGCAATGTGTGATTGTATATAAACCAGTAACAGGGGCTGGGAAGGTGGCTCAGTGGTAGAGTGCTTGCCTTGTATGCATGAAGCCCTGGGTTCGATTCCTCAGCACCACATAAGCAGAAAAAGTTGGAAGTGGTGTTGTGGCTCAAGTAGCTAGAGTGCTAGCCTTGAGCTGAAGAGCTGAGGGACACTGCCTCAGAGTTCAGGCCCCACAACCAGCAAAAAAAACAACAACAAAAAAAAAAAAACAGCAATAGTCATGAACAACACTTAGCGAGTTATTATGCAATTTACGTATTTCTGTACACTTGCAGTGCAGGTTTACTCACACCATCACTGCGGCGAGCATCAGTGGTGAACCATCCGAGACCGTATAGGTACCACTGGGTGATGTCAACGTTCCAGCCCCACCATGAACCCACAGGGCCATGGTCACATGCACAGCCCCACTGTCTAGAAAGTTATTAACACCGCGTGTCTGTGAACCTAATGCTATGGCACTCTACTGCATTCAGAACAGTTACTCCTTCTTACAACCATGGCTCTTACAGAGAAGGACAAACAATAACTTTGCCTCATCACTACACCAATTCTGTATTCAGAAAACTCTGAAAGCGGAGCTGGGAAGGTGGCTTGGTGGCAGAGCGCTTGCCTCACATGCATGAGGCCCTGGGTTTGATTCCTCAGCACCACATAAGCAGAAAAAGCTGGAAGTGGCACTGTGGCTCAAGTGATAGTGCTTGAGAGCCTCCAGCTGAAGAGCTGAGAGGCAGTGCCCAGGCCCAGAGTTCAGGCCCCACAACCAAGGAAAAAATAAAACTTCAACACTCCTCTTGGATTATCGATTCTAGCTATGCTTTCTTATCAACTTCCTGAGCAGCAACTCCCACTAATTCACCAGCTGCCCCATTATCTGTGACCATCCCCCAGTCTAAATTTACTTGCGCCTAATGGAAAACAATTACAAAATCGCATACCACTTTCTTTCCAGATGGTTCCCAGAGAGAAACATCTCCCCATGATGTGTTATAAAAGTACTTCTCTCCTGGATCAAAGTCTTCAAGGTCCTTTTAAAAAAATGAAGAGACAAAAAGATTATACAAATTCAAGAGATACAGAAGTGTTTATAGTGTTTATTTATAGGGCATGGTAATGTGTAGCATTAAGCTGTGGCAGTTAGACCCCAGGTCTAAAAGCTAGCCAAGGCAACTTGGCCAGACTGTTTTCAAAATAAAAACAAGGCTAGTGACTGTAGAGGGCTTGCCTAGCATCCATGAGGTCCTGGAGTTGATCCTCAGCCTGAGAAAACATTTATTTATACCTAAAAAACAACAACAACACACTTAGTGTCTGCTGGGAGCCAGAGGCTCACACCTGTAATCCTAACTACTACTCAGGAGGCTGAGATCTGAGGATCATGGTTGAAAGCCAATCCAGCCAGGAAAGTCCATGAGACTCTTACCTCCAATTAGCCAGAACTGGAGGCATGAAGGAGCAGAATACAAGCCCAAGTAATTAAACACATAATAAATTAAAATACTTGCTATCTAAGAAATCTACATGGGCAAACTGACAATAGTATTCACGGCAGTTGAGAGCTGAGGAAATGCTGAACTGGTCCAAGTTAAAATTATTTTTGTAAGAAATAGATTACACTTTATAATAATCATGTATGTTTTTATATACAAAGTCTTAAGTGTATATAAGGATTATAAAACTCATGTGGCTTTGTGAATGTATACAAAGCACTTTTTAACCTTCAACAGTTCTTTTCTTTGAGATTAATTACATAAATTTCACAGTATTGTGCAGTGATACTTAGTTAAAGTCACCAACACATTTTAGCCTTGATTAACAAAGCTTATGAACTCCACAGACTTTAACAATGAAACTATGTCTTCCAAATTGGATGATTTGTACATTTCTTTCCTTTTGCTTCATGTGGGCTGTTTCCTCTTTCTCTCTCATTCCCTCCCTCACATCACCACTCTTGAGTTGCTTAGTTCACTTTCATCAATGTCCAGTGTAGCTGATGGGCCCCTCTGCTGTATTTTTTCACCCATTTTCCTCTAGTTCTGTACCCCCTTCTAGCTTCCCTCAGATGTGCCCATGTATACACCATATATGGGATCAAGAACGTAAGAGTCATCTAGAAACTATATGACAAAAAAAAATTAAGAAGTCCTTTGTTTCTTGGGTCCTATTTACTTTGTCATTTAAATAGCATTGTGCCACTTCTATTCAATGTGTTTGTCCTAAGAGCATGAGAGCAAAGTGTGTTATGTTTTGAATATCTTTCAGGGTAGATATTTCAACTGAGATCTAGAATACAGAGGTTTGTTTCAGATAAAATAAGTTATTTCTCACTCAAAACAGATGCTTGCTCCTTTAAGAGAGTGCAAAAAAAGCCAGACATAGGTGGCTGTAATTTTAACTACTTAGGAGACTGAGATTGGAGGATCAAGGTTCTAAGTTAGCCAGGACATGTTAATCTGTGAGACTCTTATTTCCAATTAACTTCTACCAAGCTGGAAATGGCAGTATGGTTTAAAATGCACATCCACACTCAAACACGTGTGTGTGTGTGTGTGTGTACACACACAAGTGCACAGTGCAAAAAAGGATACAAGTAAAACCTTAGCACTAAGCTGGGAAAACAATCATACTATGAATTAAAACAATAAACAATTTTATTGCTAACACTACTTCAAAAAGAACCAATAAAAGCCAGGCATGCCTGTAATCTCAGTATTCTACTCTGAGGTAAAGGCAGAAGAATTAGGAGTTCAAGGTCAGCCTCAGCTACATAGCAAGATCTTATCTCAAAAAAATTAAGGGCTGGAGATATAGCTAAGATATCAAGTATTTGTTTAATGTGTTCCAGATACTGGCTTTTAACCCCAGCATAAAAAAAAAAAAGAAAGACAGTAAATTTAAAAATAAACAAAAACACTGGCCACACCAGGAGGTAAAGGTATGGTTCAAGTGGTAGAGCACCAGCCTTGAGTGGAAAAAGCCAAATAATAGCATAAGGCCCCGATTTCAAGCACCAGTGTCAGTTCAAAAACAAACAAACAAAACAATAACAGGGGCTAGGAAGGTGGCTCAGTGGTAGAGCGCTTGCCTTGCATGCATGAGGCCCTGGGTTCAATTCCTCAGCACCACATAAGCAAAAAGAAAAAAGCCGGAAGTGGTGCTGTGGCTCAAGTGGTAGAGTGCTAGCCTTGAACTGAAGAGCTAAGGGACAGCTCCCAGGCCCAGAGTTCAGGCCCCACGACTGGACCTAAAAAAAACACAAAAAAACAACAACAACAAACCAGTAAGGAAAGCCAGGCACTGGTGGCTCATGCCTGCAACCCTAGCTTCTCAGGAGGCTGAGATCTGAGGATCACGGTTCAAAGCCAACCCAGGCAGGAAAGTTCATGAGTTCACTCTTATCTCCAAATAACCACCAGAAAACCAGAAGTGGCACTGTGGGTCAGGTAGTAGAGCACTAGCCTTGAGCTGAAAAGCTGAGGGACAGTGCCCAGGCCCAGAGTTCACACTCCACAACCGACAAACACACACACACACACATACACACACACACAATTTAATGGAAAAAGGCTCACAAAGCCTTTCTAGGATATATACAATGTGCAACGTGCGTACATCAAAAATCAGTTGCTTAACAACTAATCAAAAGTAAAATGTATGGATGCTTGCAAGGTTCTTTGAAATGCATTGAAAAATATGCTGGGAATCGGTGGCTCCTGTAATCGTAGCTACTCAGGAGGCTGAGATCTGAGGATCACAGTTCAAAGGCAGCCCAGGCAGGAAAGTCTGTGAGACTCTTATCTCCAATAAACCACTAGAAAACTGGAAGTGGTGCTGTGGCTCAAGCCTTGAGCTGAAGAGCTGAGGGACAGCACACAGGCCCAGAGTTCAAGCCCCAAGACCGATGGTGAAACAATGGAGGAATAGAGAAACAGGGAACAAAACCATTAAACTTCAACAATTTTGTAGGATTTAGGTGGCTGGTGACAGATTTTTCACCCATGTATTTCGCATTTGAAATAATTCTTTCAAATTATTGTATTTGAAAATACAAAAAAAGAAGGAAACCAAAACACCATATTGCAAGATATAGGTAGAAAAGCTTAAGAAATGCTTCTCACGGTCACAGGGAGCCAGCAGTAAGAAACTAAGATTTACCAAAAAATAAATGGAAAGTATACATATGTTGACACATGGTTGAACAAATTTGAGTATCTACTTATACATGTAGGTGTCTAAAGAGTTAATGAAAAAGACTCAGGGTATCTTTTTTTTGGGGGGGGGGCGCCAGTTGTGTGGCTTGAACTCTGGGACTGGGCGCTGTCCCTTAGTTCTTCAGGTCAAGACTAATGCTCTAAGCCGGGCGCTGGTGGCTCACGCCTGTCATCCTAGCTACTCAGGAGGCTGAGATCTGAGGATCGCGGTTCAAAGCCAGCCCAGGCAGGAGAGACCGTGACACTCCTATCTCCAATAAACCACCAGAAAACCGGAAGTGGCGCTGTAGCTCAAGTGGTAGAGCGCTCGCCTTGAGCTGAAGAGCTGAGGGACAGCGCCCAGGCCCAGAGTTCAAGCCCCACGACCAACAAAAAAAAAAAAAAAAGACTAATGCTCTACCACTTGAGCCACAGCACCACTTCCAGTTTTCTGGTGGTTTATTGGAGATAAGTCTCACAAACCTTGCCCATGTAATTGTAACCCCTCTGTACAGTATTTTCACAATTAAAAAAAAATAAAAATTAAAAAAAAAAAGAGTCTCACAAACTTTCCTGCCTGGGCTGGCTTTGAACCGTGATCCTCAGATCTCAGCCTCCTGAGTAGCTAGGATTACAGGCGTGAGCCACTGGTGCCCAGCAGGGCATCCAAATTTTAAAGCCCTCCAAGCAGTTCAAAGTGGCAGCAACCCAGCCTTAGGAATATTAGCTTACGTGTCTTAATCTAACCTATGACACTCACGCCCCCTCAGATAAAACAACCAGGAAGAAGAGGATGACACCCAGAAAGTAATACCCTGGAAGGAGACCTTTCCTAGGAAGTAGTCAGAAAAAGTACAGTTAGTAATCCCTGGAAGGTGAGGGTAGAAGCAATGAGGGACTTATACTTCTATGAGATGGTCACATGAATTCCCTTAGCTCAATAAGCCTGGGATGTTAACTCTCCAAAGACTTCTCCTGTCTTTCTAGTAGTTGTTAATTAAGAACTTACAAAATGACAAAAGCTTCTAGTAATAATAATACTTTTGAATAAATTCAGGTATCATTTATCATAATTATCTATTAACAGTTAAATATGGCAGTAACTTAAGAGAGTACAATTTAATCATCAGACAAATGTACCTGGTGATCTCTAGGTAACACACACACATACACACAGAAGTATCACTCATCCCTTCCACTTCTGTGTTATGACACTTGTGGTTTTTGGTTATTAGGCAATCAATACCCTCATTTCTCCTACATTTGTTTTGTATTGTTAGTGTTTACTGAGGGAAGGGCCCACTATGTAGCCCTGGCTAGCCTTGAACTTACCATCCTTCTGTCCCCAAGACATCCATTTTACAGTTGTACACCACCCTGACTATATATATATACACACACACACACACACATGTACGTACATGTATATATACACATATATATGCATATACATGTGTATTATATATAATATGTATTACACGTATGTACACAGATATAGAACATTTTGAAATAATGGCACATAAACCTTTACTTTCATCTCTGTGTATGTATTTTTTTTGGGGGGGTCCAGCCGTGGGGCCTGAACTCTGGGCCTGGGCGCTGTCCCTCAGCTCTTCAGCTCAAGGCAAGTGCTCTACCACTTGAGCCACAGCGCCACT